GAAATATAATGTAAGGTGTGGTAGGTGGGAGTGCGGCGGTGCGATAGATAAGTGAAAGAATGCGTTTAGCATTCGCGGGCGATAGGAAGTATATATGACATTTTCGCGTTTTTGTTTTTTGCAGCGGGCAGTAATCGTAGGTTAAACAGGCGCGACCGACACGACGAGGGAGGGCGGAGGCGAGCAAAAAAAAAAGCTGGACACAAGACAAGCTTGCTTGTATCGATATAGATATTAATACACGAATGCTTCAGCATCCGAAAATTGTTGATAAGAGCGATCATGTCGAAGCGGCCTTCCCCCTGCAGGGGCTACGCTGACGGCGGTCATACCGGTATCATCTTTATCGCTGTCGCTATGTGGCAAATCAAATGCAACACCCGGTCGGAATCGTCTACTCTTTCCACTCGACTTGTGACTCTGTTCTGTGACCAGACTCCATTGGTGAACTGCATGCATACGAGCCTCGAGCGGTGGCTCGTCACTATGTTCTACATCGTTCTCTCCATCTGTCTCTGTTTCATCCTCGCTCCTCTGTCTCCTGCGGCTAGCCATCATCAGCCGCGACTTCCTGTTGTTCCCGCCCAGACCGTTACCACTGGAATACTCGCTCTGAGGATCTGGAGTCCTACTTGGAAGTAAGGATCCTTCGCTAGACATGGCAAACTCGCCACCAGATCCAAACTTGCTCCCACCAATGACTGCCTCGACTGATACTTTTGACATCGAGTCCTTGCCCTTGTGGCGGAGGTTGATAGGGAAAGAGAAGTTGAAGCGACGAGGAGAGGAGGTCGCAGCACGAGGTGGAGGGGTTTTGGAGGGCGTTGGCGGTCGTGGGGAGGAGGAGCGTTCCATGGTGGGGAATGGGCGAGGCGATCGTGAGCGGAACATCCCGGGCAGCCAGCTGCTTCCTCCTGTTGGTTGATTCTGGAGCATAGGAGCAGTAGGAACTGAGTGAGGAGGCGTCGAGCTGGCCCCTTCCCGTCTGTATGAACTTGAGCTCCTCCTTTCAAGCGGAGCAGGGCTCGATACTACTGGCACCTGATGACCCGATACATAGGTAGCTCGGGTCACGGAAACAGTGGTGACAGTGTATTCAGAGTCACTCATTAGAGTGCGGGGGCTGTCAAGGGCCGCGCCCAGCGCTTGCTGGGCAAAGATTGCAGGGGACGTGGGCGTAGCGGTTGAGCTCTCTAGTCCATAGCTTTGGAGTGTAGAAGGCTGTGAACGGAGAGGTGACTTCATTTCTGAGACGGGATCTCGACGAGACTCGACCGCAGTTCGTGATACGCCAGTCTTCGTGAATTCGGTCGAATTGTGACGAGGAGAGGTTGGGTTGAAATGCATTGACTGCTGCCCCTGAATTTGCCCTTGTCCAAGTGCTGACATGGGTAAATCCGGCCGAGTGGACTGAGGTGGAAGGGGAGGAGGGGAAAGTATGCCTGCAGCAGCAGCGGCTAAGCGAGGACTGGTAACCTCCGTTGCGGTGATCGGTGGGTTTGACAGAGAGGAGGACCGAGCGGGATGAGACTTTGAAGAGTGATGATGTCGGGAGGTGAGGGAGGAGAAGAGGGCGAGAACAGTCTTGGACGCGGGTGAGCTGGGAGTCGTGGTTGTCGTTCCCAGGGACGACTCATAGTCTTCCTCAACATAAACACCTCGTCCGACGACGGAGCCTGTGGAGGGTGTGGCATAATTGTGTCTATGTTGCGACGGCGTAATCGGAGCAGGATCGCTTGGGTGCTGAGAGCTGGAAACAAGCGTGCGAGGGCTAGCCACGGCAGATAAGTGAGGTGACATCACTGTAGATGTTAAGGACGAATAAGTAGGAGCAGACGTCATTGTCGGAGATTTCGTTGACGTCCATGAGGTAGCAGGGCCTTCATTCGTGGATTGGCGAGGGGATTGTATCGAAGGGAATAGCCGCGACTGGTCGACGGCCGGCGAGGCTGACGAATTGCCATTTGAGGTATTGTGAGAGATAGTAGTTTGCAACAATCTCTGAAGGTCTGGGTTGGCCGACTGCGTTTTCGAATGACCACGAGGCGCGGGCGTGGTGATGGTGGACATTGGCCGGGTGGAAGGGGTGGAAGACTGAAATGAATGTCGCAAATGGAAAGAACAAAACGGAAAAAAATTGAGAATGTCAGTAACACATCGATGAAAATGTATAGAGAAAATCAAAACAAAGCAGTAGATCAGATCCGTACCGAATTGGACGACTGCTTTGTCGTCGAAGAGGTCGACATGACGCGAGCTAGTAGCTTGGACTTTGGGTGGTGCTCTCCTTGGTCTTGACGATGGGTAGATTGAACGTAGGCAATTTCTTGAGTGGATGGCATGTCAGACTTGGAACGGTGATGCTCCTGGGACTTGGGAGGAGTTGGGGGGTTGTGGGCGGAGGAGGTTGGGGCGGGGCTCTCGCGACCAGATTTTGAGGTAGCGATTCGAATCGAACTTATAGGGTTGCTAGTCTCGACAATGTTGCCTTTGCTCCGCCGCAAGGAACGTACGCGAGCGGGAGCCTGGAGAAGTGTGGACGTGTGTCAGTGTCAGAGTCAGAGTCAGGGAAGAGAGAATTAATGCACAGCGAATTTGGTTGGGGTCAGAGAAAAGATGGGATGAATTTACCTCGTATTCAGAGTTTGGTAAAGGCAATGCGTTTGACGCCAGGTCGCCTTGCGTCTGCATATGCGAAGTCGCGATGGTAGCAGAAATTTTCTGACCGTCCGATTCGACTAGAGGAAATCTCCCAGAGGTAATCAAGTTCTTCTCCGAGGTTGAAACAGCCTCACGCCCTTTAGACTCAGTGATAGACGCAGCAGCGGGGATGCGAACCAAACTCTCAGTGCTCTTAGGTACAGTCGAGCTTGGTGCAGTGCTGAGTGTAGCGCTCCCCCAAGAGTGTTGCAAGTTATCAGCGGAGATGCGTTCAAAAGATGAGTGTGAGGTACTGGCTGTATCAACTGAATTCAGGCTGTTTACTGAAGCGCGGTGGTAATGAGATACGGGAGCAACGGGCATGGAAATAGACTTGGATTGGGAATTTGAATGTAACTGTGTTGGGGTTTGAGCGCTCTGGGTGGATGTGCTATTGGCATGACCCGTCGTGGAAACAGCGTTGCGAGAGTCTTGTGAGGTTGGTATACCACTCCCGCTCCGTACGACGTTGAATGACCCAGAGGATTGATTTTGTCTTTGGAATAGTGCGTTTGTGGTTGTTGTTGGAGCTGGGACGGGGATAGGTTGGGCTCGATTGCCTACGCGACCTGCACCAGAGCCGACAGCGGTCGGAGGAGCCTTTGCAGAAGATTTGACATTCTTGACCGTCTCCGCCTCTGATACTTGAGGTGCTGTAGGTTCCGTCCTCCAAAACGAGGGTCGATAGGGCTTTTGGGCAGCTAGACGAGGTGATGATATCAGCACCGATGAAGGCCGACGCAAAAATTAGAGGAAAATAACGACATACCCGTAGAGTCGGAATGTTTCCTGTTCTTAAACATGGCTGAAGACGGAGAGAAAAAGAAAATAAAAGGGGGAGGAAACGAAAGAAAGTGGGGAGGAGGGGGTTAAGACAAAAGGGTAAAATAGAATAAAATCTGAGCGATAAATCCCAGAGATTTAAAGCAACTGCAACAGCCAATGGCAGAGCGACTACCTCATGTTGAACGTGTGGCCCATTCAGACTACTGATCGGCTTACGTAAGCGTTCTCTCAGAATACACAAAACTGGCTCTATACAACCACCAAAAAAGGGACACGATGGCACCATCCAGATGGCTCAAAAGACTCGCATTAATTCCAACATGCGTGGATTATAACAATCGTCGAACCAGTGTACAGGATAACAAAAGCAATTCTATTTCTGATACGACCAGACGTTCTTCAGCACTGGTTAAAGGGGGACGAACCGTCAGCCGTGATACAGAAAAAATTTCAACGATGACGAAATGACCCAAACACTACTCACATCCTGATTTAGTCGCTAAGCGGTTCAAACTGTCGTCGGCCTCGCCGTCAGCACGAACTTGTCCACATAGCGCAAAGGTTGTGACTGTCGACAGTGCCTTTCCCTCAGCATCAACATCAGCAACGCTGATTTGAATAGAAGCGTGGTCCTTGGAGGTGATCAAGCGGTCTAGACAACGAGTAAGCCTTCAGTTTTCATAATTTGTGATGGTGTAGAAGCTCACTTGTCGCAGAGCATTTTCGGGGAACGTAGAGATCGACGAGAACTCCCTAGATCATCCAAAATGTTGAATCAGAAATATGTAGAATATCCTGGAACGGCGTAGCGTACTTGATCGTTTTCCATGGTGGCAATCGACTTTTGTGTTTATTTGTGCCAAATACCCCTTTTCGTCCTAGAGTGCTCTTTAGCCGTTCCCTTACCTCGGCGAAACCCGACGATCATTCATAAATTTCAAACAAAGGATCAACGATAAGAATGACGGATGCTATTCGCCTGCTATTTTCCGCTTTTTTCTAGCCCCACTCTTGACGCCCCCATGATCACTGTTATTCTCCCCCCCCTCCCATTCGACGCCGCTTCTGCCTAATTCCTCCTCCAACGGCAAATTCCCGTCCAGCTCGCATTCCAAACGGCCGTGACTTCTTTTCTTGTTGCGCAATCTTCTTCTGCTTCTTCTCGATCGCTTTCTTCGCCTCCTTCCCTGACATGCTCTCGAAACGGGCCTGTAATTTAACCCTCTTCTCATCACCTGCAAGGAGACAATAAACATAACAGTTAATAAGCAGCAGAGAGATTGAGACTAACCTTTCTTGAGATACCAGTCCTTCTTCCCGGCAGCTCGCTTGGTCTTCTCCTCGCGCTTCACCTTGGTCATCACTTCTCTCTCAAACGCTTCTCGCTTGCTCCTCTCGATTGCACTTTCAATCCGTTTCGTTGTGCGTTCTAATCTCTGCGCGCTTCGTTAGAACGTGGGCTTCAGCATGCGATACCGATCAACTCACCTCCACTTCTGCATGCCTGTCCTCCCTTAGATGCACTGGACTGCTAGCTAGCAGCTTTCTGGCCTTTTTCAAATCATTCTTGACCATCTCAAGCTCTTCAGATCTTGTACCAGCTAGAAACTCGTAGTTTTGTCGAAAATAGTCTGCGGAATACTCTCCAAACGCATCCCCAAACCGAGGGTCACGGTGTTTCTGTACGATCACACATATTCAGTATATATATGAAAAGCGAAAGCTCGTGAGATACATGCCACAGATGCCACCTCGACCACCATCCGCTTTCGGCTAACCGGGCGTTTCGAAGACATTTCCATGGGTCTATGAATGTATTTATGAATGGTATATATTTATGAGAACCGATATTCACTCACGCGTGCTTGTTCGCCCTCTTTTCGATTGGTTTTCGTTCTGGCTTATCTTGCTGAGCAGACAGGCCAGCAATATCCCCATGTTCCTCATCATTATCCTCGCTATCCTCTGATGATTCTTCATCTGTAGATGCGTTTGACTCTGATGTATCATCTGCTGCTTGCTTTGCTAAGGCGCGTCTCGCTTTCAGAAGCGCACCAAACGAGAGAGAGGCAAGATCTGACATCATAACTGTATAAGAACGACGCCCTTCCTGTTCATGGGCTAGCAGCTAACCTTGTTTGATTGCTTCCTAGAGTAAAGGGTTGGTTCCACTAAACAACTTGACGTAAAAAGTATGAAACGAACCGGTTCAGGGACATCAGAGTCATCATGATTCTCATTCTCCTCATCATCAACCCATTGCGACACCCTGGCTCCTTCAGCTCCTTCAGACGACTGTGGTTCTTCATCACTTGTTGCGTTTTCACCTGGAGAGTCGCTGTCGGACTCTCTTGCCCGTTTCCGGTTTATTACTGAAGACTGTAAACCTTCATGCTTCTTAACCTTTATATTCGAGTGTTTATCGACATGAGGCATCCCACTCGTGCGATTAAAGGTGGCAAAGGTTGGCGTCTTGGTGAGCCTTGGGCGCACAGACCAGCGCTCGGCATCCGTCCACGAAATATCGGCCTACCCCACACAACCTGACGCATACAACTCCTTTGAATTCTACCTCTTCATACCTGGAAATTCCCAACAATATTGTCAAACGGTTTCAGCGCGCTCTAGCCGTCCAACCCGTTCCTCCCGGAGGACCCCGTTCGACCAGTCAACTTTCGACCCCAACCCCTTGTCCCTTCACCACCAAGAAACGCAACTCTACGCAGAAGAATGCCCGCCCCGGCGTTAGCTATCTCAGTGGAGGGAAAGACGAGAGATAGGTCCACTGCTGCTGTCAATCTTGACGCGAAAGAAGCAGTGGATATCGCGCAAGGACTGGACGAAAATGTCTTCTTGTTCGTTCCGAATCTCATTGGTCAGTCCTCCTCCTCACCACTCCTAGGCTAGCGCGAGCCGTGGAGCTAATGTAACAATGTTTAACGCGTTCTATACTACATATAACGACTATCGAACACGATGTTTGGGTGGGGAACGAATAGGCTATGCGAGAGTGATCTTGGCTGCTATTGCGCTCAACTATATGCCCAGCAACCCTTGGTACTGCACCGTGCTTTATGGATTCAGCTGTCTTCTAGATGCTGTAGATGGTCATGCTGCACGCATGCTGGGCCAAACGTCTCGTTATGGGGCGGCTTTGGACATGATAACAGATAGGTGAGTAATCAGCGGCGTCGACGAGCGCTTCCGTCAAACGCGCGCATATTTCCGGTCGCCCGTCAACCTAAAATTTGACTCACCCTATTTTACCCAGATGTACAACTGCTGGATTATTATGCTATCTGTCATCTGCTTATCCAAAATACGCTTTGGGCTTCCAAGCTCTCATCGCGCTCGACTTTAGCTCGCACTATGTCCACATGTATAGGTATGTCAAACTTGACACTGCGCCATCACAAATAGTAATATGGTATATTTTCAGCACCCTCTTAACTGGTACCAAAAGCCACAAGGCCGTGGAGAGTGATGTGAGCCGAATCCTGAGCTTCTACTATAACAACCCGGCAAGTCCATAAGATTTGAGGCCATAATACGAATCTTATACGAATACTCTAGAAAACACTCTTCATCTTCTGTGCAGGAAATGAACTGTTTTTCTTCGCCCTCTACCTCATGAAGTGGGATCACTCTCCGATGAATCTCACAGTCCTCCCTCCCTTTGGAACATTTGCATCAAAGCTCTGTCCCGGAATCCTGGAATTTATCGCCAGTCTGACCTTTGCCCAAATGGTCGCGCTCATCACCTTCCCAATCTGCCTGGGGAAGAACATTATCAACGTCGTTCAAGGCTGGAAAGCGAGCAAAATTCTCGTTGGGATTGACCTAGCTGAGAGAACAGAGGCCAGAAAGGCCAAACGTGATACCAAGCATTAGTTCAAGCGAGTTATTCTTGTGCTGGGTAGCACCACGAAGTGGAGGAGTAGGGGAAGACGAGTGGAGTTTAGAGGATAGAAATAGACATTCTACCACCATTGTACTGTACTAGATAATGATTGAGAGGATTTACCACGCTTACATTGCAGGTTGAGCCATTTGGACCCTACCTCATTACTCGTTGAGCTATGAACGGCGATGAATATAACACGCTGAAGCCAGGTTGCGCTGTTTATCTCTTGAGGCACTTGAACGTTATCTAATCTGGAGATCTGTCCCCTTCAATGCTGCAACCATGCAATATCAGAACAAGAGACACTCCTCAACAATACTATTCTTACAGGAGAAGTACCGTATGTTCCAATGGGACTGAATACATCGCGAAATATTTAATAAACACCCACCGCAGTAATTGGGACGAGCTGAAGGAGACGCTGAAATCGCGTATCAAAGCTGTAAGTCACCACGAGCTCTGGTTCATTTGTAAACTTACTGGCATATTCATGCTTAGAATATCGAAGAGTTTATTCACAGAGGTCCAGATCCATTGATTGAACGATCGAATCTGCCGGCAACGACAGATGGACTGGTCATACCACCTTTCAGAGCGCGTGCAAATAACCCTAAATTTGGGCCAACTAGGACTCTCCCTAGCGATATGACTGAACAAGAGGCGAACGAGATGCTCGAGACTGTTATTGGAATGATTGACGGGTTCACTAGGTGAGAAGGATGAAATGTCACTTCATACGACGTATCCCAATAATATCAACCACTCCAGTGGACCACCCTTCACGATCAAAAGAGTTTGCGAACTTGCTTTGCTTCCCAGGAATCACTATCGTACAGTTGGCAAGTATCTACGAGGACTTGAACGGACGCTGCTGGTGACATCTTCACCAAACACGTTTAATCTACAATCAATGGAAGAAGAGGGTCCCTCCGTGTACAGTGAGCTTGGAATGGATGGCGTTCTAAAGATCGTCAGCACACCCATCTTCAGCCCCATCGCCTTTCTACATGACGACGCTCGTAGAAGATCACAATCGAGAAGCCCTCCTGCTTCACCTCTACGCTTACACAACTCTTTAGCTATGGGAGATGCTCCAGCAGATGAGCCAAAAGGCTTGGGTCTAGTGGATGAGCTCGACACCCCTGCTCCTGGCCACATGGCTAGTAAACCTAATCCCTTGACAGCCACAACGAGTAGTGAGCCACCGACTCCTACTGCATCGATGGAATCTCTCCCTTCATTAAGTGAGCGATTCGTAAAAGCGGAGGATACCGACGGGAAGGGCGATGGGAACAAAGGGGGTGTGAGTGGTACAGACGGGAACAAGGGGGGCGAGGATGGTAAAAATGAAGACGCAGAAGTGGAAAATATGGTTTTGAGTCAGGAAGAGGACGTTCAGACATAACAGCACCCAGTTCGGCGGGTCGGGAGCTTGAAGTTTTGTACGTTTGAACATAATTATGAGGACTCTGATCGAAGAGACATTGTGACCAAATAACTGCTTATGCCTTCTGGTGTCAGGATACCGGCATCCGTAAAGAGGAGAGTGATGTACTCTGGTGGCGTATAGTCAACCTCTGGGTTTCTACCAACTTGACTGATTGGCATAACATTCGTCATAGAATTCATTGAAGATGAAGTAACCGGCGGTTTTGGTACACTTGGAGATGCGAACAGGAGGCCAGGCATACTGTCCGTCGTCCTTAGGATTGGATGATGCCGTCGGGGGGTACTGGGTAAAGGAGAATTTGTACCTGATGTCGGAGGTGTTGAGACAAAGTCAAAAGATAATATGTGGTCGTTGTGTGTTGGTAAATCGTATTGAGATAAAGGAAATAGCCGTGTCCATTTATAGCTAAAAGAAAACCTTTAATATCCCACAAAGATAAAACTATTCAGAATATTCACCTTTCAGCAAGTACATAGACCGGCTTATTGAACGCATGTGCGATGATCGCCATCTGACATGAGCCGATCGCGTTGACAATGCCTCCACTTTCCACAACCGCTTCACAACCAACAAGCACCATGTCCACCTTGTCCATGGTATATGCGACAGCTGAGTCGAGAATAATTGTGCACGGGATGCCACCTTTTGTGAGGATATCATGAGTTCGAATGCCCAAACCACGAGGGCGAGTTTCGGTCACATAAACTGAGATGCGGCGACCCTTGCGGTGCGACATAAGGAGTGCGTTGACCACTACTCGTGAATATGCATGTATGAGGATCTTGAGAACGGCTCAGTTTGTATAAATATATTTCCTTGGATTTAGCTTACCACCGAATCGTCTTTGATGAATGCATCGACATGCTCCGCAATGGTATCCTTTACTCGTTTGGTATTCTGTGCATATTCCCGTACGGCTGCTATAATATTATTTTTAAACCCCTCAAAGTCCTTCAGATGATGAGTGAACTGCCTTAGAGAAGGAGGAGAGAAATACCTGACCGAAATCTCGAAGGGAAGAGATGAACTGGTAAAAGACGTCACACCCAGCCGATAGAGATACAGAGTTGTGAGAGTAATGGCGTTTCAGTCTTGTCGCAGCATCCTTCACGGCTTCCATGAGCTCGAACATTGTCGCTACTGTAAGGTGGCCAAGTCGAGTCAGTGAGTGGCAAGGGATCATCAGCCTGTTTAACGTACTTTCCGTCTGTGCTATTAGCTCCGAGAGGGACTGCATGGCAGCTACAGGCATCGATATCTTTGTTTCCAATTCAGAAGCTCGTCATTGAAGGCGTGAGGAGAAAGTCACACACATCTGGATCGCTCACAAAAGTTTTGTAAGCTGAGATGATATCAAACCTTGTAGCATCCTTATGGACCTTCTTAGGTTCGCCTGTAGGGTCTGGCACAATCAGTAGCGGCGTTTGACTGGTCATCGCTGCACTTGGTAGAGGAATAAGCTTCGAGTGCGTTAGTGGTATTTGCGGATGCTTTGATTCTTTAGGACTAGGATGGTAAAACGGCACTGAAGGAAAATAGTTCAGAATCGGAGATGTAGCAAACATGCTGGATGGGTTCAGCGAGGGTCTGCACAACACGGGTAACGGAAATGGGTGGTTATGAACATAATTTTTTGCAGGTGATTTTACACCCTGACTATGCACTCTCGTGTCCTTCGTTCAGAATGCAACGTCCTCAATAAATATCTCAACAGTAATTCTTATTTGACAAGGCATAGACCAAGGTTTGCGAAGGCTCCAACCTTACAATATCGACGAGTTGGCTCGATTGTTCCCTCCACACCGCCCTCGGAACCTCTAGAGGACCCCGATAAAACAAATGTGCGAAGAGGACGTCCTAGAGTAATCAAAGGCTTAGACCCCAAGTCTGGAGACGCTGTCTCTTTGCCAGCCGACCTCGCTGAATCTATCATATGGCTCCCAGAAGAAAACCTAGTCGTCAAGGATTCTTCTTTACCTCCAGAAGAGATGATACAAGAGGCATTAGCTAACTTATTAGTATCTTTTCATCCAAAAACTCAGCATCGAGCAACCTACACTACGAGTGCTGGCCCGCCTATTGAACCTATAGTCACTCTTTATTGCCCAATTGAAGGAGGAACCTATGTCATAGACGCTACAGTTCAAGAATTGGCCCGGCGGACCAACTCTGATGTTCTCATACTGGATGCATTGGACATACTGGCTGGTGAATGGGGTACATTTGGCAAAGGTATGTCACCTCCCCCAGTTTTTGGTTACCTAACTAATTGTAAATTTATAAAGCCGCCGCTTCTCTTCAGTTACCGTCAAACCCTCTTCAATTAGGCGAGTTTCAACATCCCCAGCCTACACAAAGGCCGGAAGATTCAGATGACGATGTCGAGGTTGGCTCCATTGGGCAATTAATGGAAGGCGTACAGATTGGTGGAGGAAGACCACCGTTTGGAATAAGTATCCGCACCAGGAAAGTAAACAGCGGTAGCGGGAACTCCAATAAAAAGGCATTTTTCCAGGAGCTCGTGAATTTACAGCGAACGGAGGATGAACCGACTTCAAATACTATAGAACCAACCCGCCCTCGACTAATCTATTGTCGCGATATGCATCTACTGTCCGATACCCTCCCACATTGGTACCCGCAATTTGTAGAAGCGGTCAGATCGAGGCGACAAGGTCCCATGTCGCGACCTCTCTCCCCCATCCTCAACCCAACAGTCATTGTCCTTGGTGTTTCTCCCTCAATTATTACTCCCCGTACAAGTACTTCGTCACCTTCCGATTCCAGTGGACTAGTCAATCTAATGATGAACCGGAATCGCCTACTCCCTCGTAACTCAATCAATTCTCCCTCCGCACCAAAAGTGTTTGAATGGGATGAAAGTCCAGCTGCACAACGTGCCCGAGATAGAAGATTACATGAACGACTGAGCAACTGGGAAAAATATGATGCCAGCGTATTTTATCCGGAGCTACCAAATCTATCAGCTGCTAATGCGGACTCTGATAGTGCAAAATCTGTTGCAACCCGTGGATTAATGAGCTTATTTGTTGCCATTCCTGAAGGTGGAAGTGGACCGCCGACACTCTCCCCTGCAGTTCCAGCTGAGGACCGTTCAAGGGAGAGAGGCAATGACCATCCTAGGTAAGTTATCGTGGACCCTTCTTTTGATTTTTAGTTCCTTTCTCCTAATTACTTCAATCCATAGGCTCACAGTTGTGCTCCCAAGAGTAAGAGATCCTGCTCTTGAAGTTTCAACTCGAATACAGCAAAGACTGCAAGCAAACCAAATCAATATGCGGACAGCTGTAGGCGGAATAGGAGGTATGATGATTGGAATGCTGAAGGATACACAACTCAACAAACAACAGGAACACTTGACCAAACAAATGACTTAGCTCCGGAAAAATATTTGGGAGATTCTCAAGCATCTTCTGATCCAGAAGATGTGCGGATGCATTCCATGTTCTTGGATTGGAGCCAAAGAGTTGAGACCTGGCAACGTGTAAAAGCAATTGCAGACCGTTCTATGGGCTCATTTGTTGCCGATAAGGTAATTCTTTAAGAATGAGATATTCAAGATACTGACGTTTCATGAAAGCTCAAAGGGTTGAACGATGCCAAGAAACTCGGATTAGAACCCACACCCGTTCCTTGGTCAACCATCGCTCAAAGC